AATAATTTTTTTAGCAACATTTTTAATTTAAGCAAATATTCGAGTAAAATATATACTTATAGACTAATTATAATAAAATAATTATAATTTTAAAATCGCGTCCAAATGTACCCGAGCCCAAACGGCTCTAAATGACTTTGCGTCTACACGGCCAAGTTGATTTGTCCTAGATTGTGTAACATTATAACTAATAAGATGTTTGCAAAGTTAAGCAATGTCAGGTTTTATTTTTGACAACTGGATTTTTAATCAGGTTCTGCGTGGAGTTTGATTGAGGTATTTAGTTTTAATTGCAGTGTACACCAAAATCCTGACTCATTTTCATAAGATTTGATTATAAATCAAAAAATTATTTTAATAAATTCTAAATAATTTCTTATGAACTATGTTACTCCTGAAAAGAGCTTTGTGGAACTGTGATACATAGCTTGGGAATCACTAGTTTGGACAAACAATTTTCAAATATCATATATAATGACAAAAATAAAGGAACTAACAAGCAATAATCATCATCAACACGAAATACGATGTACTGTTCGCATATGACCTCTTAAACTTGACTTTTGTGTGAAAAAGTTGCTACAAATTTTGCACTGGAACTGTGGTGGTACACCACACTGGTATCTTTGATGCTTTTTTAAATTCCTCACATATTTGTACTTTCTGTAGCATCGTACACAAACAAAACAAAAAGGACCGAGTTGCAAATGTTTAGGAGTTGGTGGTTGTTCATTGCAATTATACCATTCAGCTAAAAAAATTAATAAATATTAACATAATGTTTGTATAAAATATACCATAAGAGAAAATACAAGAATAAAATAATAGAAATTACAAATTAAAAAATAATTATTGAAAATTTGAAAATAATTTAAAGCATAAAATGTTTTAGTACGGTTTTATCCATAACCAGATTTAAATATTTTAACATTTTAAAATGTAATAAAAAAAACTCAAGAACCAATTTCAGACTATATTGTACATTAATACCTAATCATTGTTTAAGATGTGCAGTAATATTATAATTTATTGATATTCAAATTAATTATATACATTTTATACTGTAAAAAAAGATGTCATATTATTATTGATAATATTTATCTATAATTTGTTTAACATATTAGTTTATTATTGGATCAACATGCATGTATTAGGAAAGCACTTTTACATACACAAAATAAATAACTAACTACAACTAAAAATAAAACATTTTCTTTTTTTAATTTATAAAATATCAGATTACAAAAATTATGCAGTAATAATAAACAATTCTTTTATCATAGAAGATTTTACGGTAAGTATCTCATAGATACATGCCCATTTAAATTATGTTTATTTTATAAATTAGAATCATGTAATGTATGTATGTGTGTATTATGTAGACTCATATTGCAAACACAACTTAATATCCATTTTAATTACTATTAAAAACTATAAAATTAAGACTTACTAATACTAAAAACTATAACATAATATTTTCTAACACATATTTTGTATAGTTACAAAACTATAATTATAGTTATACAAATTAATACCGTTTTTGGAGTGTTTATACTATAAGTATCCATAATCATTTTAGTGTTAAGAACATCAGTGTTTGAATTAACTAAACAATGTTACGCATTTTATTTAAAGTTATGCAATACAAATTTATATTATAAATTATACACACCAACAGTGGCGCCGAACATGGGTATAAACTAGGAAAAATTCCCCAAAACTATTTATGAGTGGATCAGGTGGATAGGTCGGTGATAATAAGTGTTTAGTCATTAGTGGTATTTAATATCCAAATTTTAAAGATCATAATTTAAAAATATTGGTAAGTGTAATATTGATATTGGTAGTAATAATGTAAAAAAAAAATATTTTGTCATGAAGTACTTTATCCACATATAATTGGAAATAAGTAAGGTACTATTCGAGAGAAGCTAAACATTTTTTTTTAAGTAGGTGGGTCTAACACCAGCATTTTTCCCCATAGCATAAAATATAGATAGGTGCCAATGCACACCATTTATGCATACATTACACTGTAATAAAAATAAACTTACTGTATTTATTCAAAATGTTTTTCTTTAACACATTCATAAAATGTTCCTATTAAAAACAATGAAAAGCTTTTATTTAAACTTTAAATTTTTCTTTAAAATTATTCATGTGTTTTGAGTAGAAACAAAAATCATAGAAAATTTGAAATAATGGAATGTCAAAACTATGTTGATTAATGGTTATGGTTATGGCTTATATTTTATACTACCATCACCTTTTATTAATCAAGCCCTGTTTTAATATTTTTTTATTATTATTTTTTAAAAAAGAATGCTTTATAATCAAACATATTATGAATTGTTGAATAAAAATAATACTCTCAAAATATCAAATAATATATGAGTGTATTGTATATATACATATTACATAAGTTATTATACTAATACATAAATATATATGTATATTGATTGATATGTATAACAAACTTACGTTAATAAAATATTTATGTATTAATTCACTTTAACTAAATAATCATATGTACATCTGCTAAATGAAATTTTAGAGTAAATGTATGTCGAAAACATTTTCCGCACATGTTACACTTAAACATTGGCTGAATACCACATTCAAATTTTAGATGCCGGTTTAATGTGCATTTTTGTTTATATCTTCTTCCGCATCCTTTAGGGCAAAAGAAAATTGATTTCTGATCTAAAACAAATTTTTTATACAGTTTTAGTTAATTTGAATTCAAACAATAATTAACAATTTAATAATTTAATATTAATACTCTAGTGAAGTAATAAGCATGACCAGTTATAAATTCCTGAATTTTCAGGGGCAAAACAATAATGATAAATATATTAACACATTTATTTCAATAATATTATATACTAAGCAATTTAAATATTTTATGAAATTCATGCATTTACCACCAAGCACCCACACACCTAATATTTTACATTTTTAAAGAATTTTGTTTTTATAGAAAAGTTATATAGAAGTTACTCGTACATTTTCATGTCCTACTGCATTTAATAAAAGATAAAAATCTTTAACTATCAATTGTTTTTATGATTAACTTAAAATTTAAAATGATAATGTTCAATTAACATAGAACTGATCATGGTGTTTTTTTTTATATAAATGTTGTGAATTGTCGTTATGTTAAAATTAATGATAATATTATTACTACTAAAAATCTACTATCAGCCGGTGCTAAAGTAAATAAATAACAAAAGTACAAAACTCTAACTTTGTATCAAGCACACATTTGTATTATAATTATTTCTCTAACCTTCTAGCTCCACACACACAATGTCATCATTAATAAAACAATATATTTTCCAATTTTGTTAAAATGTAATCGGGGTAACCAAATATTAAATTATATCATAATATATAAGATATCATACATCAGGACAGTTCAATAATAATAAAATGTAATAAAGTGCTATAAACATTAAAAATGTGTATATTCGCATATTTATCAAAATATATTAATTTTATTAAATCTCTCACGCCAATGACAAATATCAGTAATAAAAGCAGGATATCTAGCTGAAATGTATGCTTGATAATTAATTAAATCACCAACTTACTTAATTTTATTGCATAAGAATAATACCTATAATGACTTATTCATACAATTGAAATCAATGTTGAGATACCCACTAATAACAGGCTTTCAACTACAAATAAATAATTTAACTTGTAATATTAATATTCAATTATAAATAAACAATTTAATCTAAAGTACCATTGATGATATATGGGTTATTTACACATACATGTAATAGACTTCAATTATACCATTGAATTGCAATAATAAAAAGAAAGTTAAGCAAGGCTACATTTAAATGGAATTTTCAAGTTAGACAATAATTAATCATAATTCCTATGGAATATGTAAAACCTATTGGTAAATAGTAGTTAAACAAATATTTTCATTGAAAAAAATAAGATATTATTCAATTAAAAGGAATATACAATAAACAATTTGAGAAATATAACCAAATATATTCATTTATATCATTCACACAGTATAACATTCTAATATATTACTGATATAGTGATATGGCACATAGAATATAACAGATAAACTCAACAACAATAAGAATTTATAACTATTCTTTTTGCCTCGTTGGAAGGATACAGGCAAAAACTTCTACTAGCATTTTAGCGTTTTACATAGGTAATTATTCTAAAAATAATTTGAAAATCACCAACCATCAGCGGACCAAAAGTATCACCATAACAATTATTTTAAAATATAACCATTTTTGACATTCAAAGTATGAATTTTTATATTTCAAACTGACTCTGTAACATTTATTTTATTTTTATCAGACTAACCATTGTTTATTTATTGAGCAATACTAAATACATTTTTAACTTATGTTTAATATTAATACATAAATAAAATAAATAGACGTTTGGTGTAAAAAAAAAATCACATGTAAAACAAAAAATAAAATAACAGCTTCTATATTTCAATAAACTGAAGACTCCAAACAATATAACCTAATTTTTGCAATTTCATATTAGAATATTATATTTAACAAACTATTAAATACAATTATAAATGAAAATATTTTGGTTACCTATTTTATTTTAATTATATTTTCAAACCATTATAGAAATACTTTCACCCAATTATTTTTTTATATAAATATGTAATCTAAATTTTTAGTTAAATAACTTCTATCTGGCCTGGAAATAAGCAATAAATCTATTACTCCAAAGTTAACTATTGATTAAGAACATAGCTATAGCTAATATAAACTACATAATATAGCTATGTATGCGTATCATGTGTATTTTAAAGTTAATGCGTTGCTTAAAATATTTGCTACAAATCGTGCATTGAAATTTTGGTTTTACACCGCATTCAAACTTCAAATGCCTTGCGACACTACCTCTATGTTTATACTTCCGGCCACATTTATTTGGGCAAAATATGTCATCTTTATTGTCTTCTGAAAAAAGAGCACTCGTTCGTCCTGTTAGAAAAATAAGTTTTAGACAAATAAATACACAGTGAATTTAGCAACAGATTCATTATTTATTAGTGAACTTCTTAAGCTGACAAGCCGGTTAGCTGACACCAATTTTAAAAATACGTAACACACCTGATATAATAAAATAATTTGACCAAAACTTCTGATAGTTATTTGTTCACTTAAACATAGAGTATAATTAATACAAACAAATTTAGTAAACAGTTTCTTCATTACAATAATAAATGTATATATAACAGCAAAACAATTTTTTTACATAATAAAATAATTCATTATCTTATAATAATGATTTTCGCAATCAATTTTCTTTTTTTAATTTTTGTAAGTGGCTTGAACACTGTATAGGAAAAATTGCAATAATTTAGATATTTTTTTACATACCTAATCATTTGATTTTGGTTTTTTAGTATGTTAAATGGAATCTTTAATTTTATATTCAGTACATGCAAATACTTTTGTAAAAATGTTAATGTACAGGTATTAAATGTATAGTTTTTTTATCTATCAAAATTTAAAGTTTAGATAAGAGGAGTGAAGTGGAAGGAATACACATATTTGTAGTCACAGCACTTAGCTAAACTTAATATTCTAATTAAGAACATGATTTTTGTAAAATATAATATATCAACATTTTTAAAACTATTATTTTACTTCAGAATATGAAACATTAAGTATTTAACGTCATACAGGTTTTCATTTCCAAAAATATAAAACCATATGATATCATGAACATAAAAAATGTTAAAATGAAATTAGGTTTTTCACAAAACTATAATTAAATAATTCAAACAATGTTATATAAAAGTATTTTTTCAAAATCACAATAATTCACTTGGGCAATTAGTGTACAGATTTTATGTTTTTGTATGTTCATACAATTATTGTTATTAATTGATTGGTTTTCTCCACAAATTATAATTATCATGGAAGTCAGGAAGTCACATACCATCACTTTTTATCATTATAAATTATACCTATGGTTGTGTATAGATTAAAATTTATTTCAAGTTAAATAAAATTATAAAGTTCATAATGTATACATTTTACTTAACTTAATGAAACACATACATCATTCAGGAATATTCAGAGATAACAATATATTATGCATGTTTTTCATGTGAAGCTTGTAACTAATTGGTTGTTTAAAAGATTTTCTACAAGTAGTGCACTGGAACATCGGAATTACTCCACACTCATATTTGCGGTGAGTATACAACCCTTGGCTATACTTATACTTACGTCCACACCCGTTAGGACAATGGTAGTAACTGTCAGTTTGTCGAACCATTCTATTGTCACCTAAAATGTATATATGTATATGTATATGTATATGTGTATGTTTATGTATAGTATTTATTGTGCATACAAATACATATCCATACACTTGTTTATCATAATATAATGTATTAAAAAAAATTTAAGATTTAAGTCAAGAGTTATTGGCGATGCTCTACTTACTAAAAGCAAAGTACCTACAAGAAATTAATTTATGATAATTGTAAAAATGTTATCATACAAAATTAGTTTATACAGTAACGCTGTTAAATAGGGGGTTTTTACTCTTATTGTTCTTTCATGAATTGTAAAAATGTACCATAGTACCTTTTCAAATTACTTACGGTAACAATGACAATACTCCTAGTAGATATTAATAATTACAAACACTAAACACAATCATTTAGTTATATTATCATATAAATTGATAGTTGAATCTCGTCACCTAAAAAATATCTTAAGAAAAATTTAAGTTCATTGCTGAAAATTTGAGGGCACAGTTTTCATTAGTGTTAAATCAAGATCAGGAACAAATTATCAGATATACTGTTCTACTAATTTGGTGCTACCTAGGTGACATTCAATGATATACATTTCAAGATCAGCTTGTAGAAAGTAGCAGTATTAGTATGATAAAGATGAAAATCTTCAAGTCATCACTATAAGCGTGCAAACCATAAGCAGTTGACTACTATAATTTTTAGGCGTATAAGAAAGTATGTCCATTGTCCATACTTACATGGGTCATAAATTGTGTTAATAATAATAAATGTTAAAGGTTTGTAGTATAATATACTAAAATAGTAGTTAAACATTTGATTTGAAAATAATACAACAGTTATAAATTATAATTTATCTTTTAAATCCTTGGTAAAAGAGCATAATATGACTAGTGACTACTATTAAATATTTTTTATTATGTAATTTATTGCAGTGATAATGAGACTCTCTTATTTATTGTATTTATTTTTATTGTTATTTTAGCTCTTGTCACATACATCGTCTGGTTTTTTGTTATTGTTAATTTACTTGTAACTTTCGAGCTATAATAATTTTATATTGGTAGTTTTATACAAAAGAAAAAATGAGACTCTCTTATATGATATATATATATATATATATGTTTGGTAGTAGTGGTTAAAATAATCTTACCCATTTTCCCATCTGAAACGGTTGTTGAAACAAAAACTTCAGTTAAAATATATGCTTATATGATCTATAAGTACCATGCCGATAATGTCTGTTACACTTATGGCCATCACCAATTATCAGCTGATTGAATGTTGTAGATATAGAAGATTAACTAACAAGAAAAAATAATAGGGGCAATTTTGTATTACTATATTTATACTTAAAATACTGAAATCAATAAACCAAAAATTATTATATATATATTATATATAATATATGCCAATTCTTAGCAAAACTCGAATTACACTAAAATGGAAAACTTTAGTATTATTTTGTAGTTTTTTAAGGTTCTTTCGATAAAATTTAATAAATTGAAAAAATCAGTACCTGGATTAATTTTGTTCACACCAGTAGATACAACTTTTCCAACAAAAAATTATGTAAAATAGCATTATTAATCTAAATCTAAAATTATAACAAGACATTTTTTTAAATAGTACCTATACATGGTAATAATAGTCATTCAACTATTTTTATTTAGATTATAACCAAGAAATCAAATCTATAAGTTAATGAAAATATTCCTTTTAATAAAAACTGTTTACACTGTAAAAAAAATTATGTAAAAGAGTTTTTAGAAAACATAATAGAAACTGATTAAAAATTAAATAGAAAATGCAAACATCAGTCCTAATTAATATTAAATAGAGTGTTTTTCATGCAGATTTTTATATAATATACAAAATTGTACATATATTTATATTTTTGGTAAGAAAAAAAATATTTCAACATTTATTTGATAATAATATATTTTTACAATCATATACATTATTTTTAAAATATGTTCATTTATTGTATACATTAGGAACTAGAGGCAGATGAGATAAATGATTAACATAAAAATTCAAAGGGTATGCTAATCTACATTAATACATTTTCAGCTTTATAAATTAAAACTAATTTTGCTATGTTTATTGCCCATGTGCATTTTATAGCTGATCGGCTGTTTGAAGTACTTGTTGCAAATTTGACAGTGAAACTTTGGGCTAACGCCACATTCAAATTTTAAATGTTTTAATAAAGAAGGGCGATGAACATACTCTCGATCACAGTTATAGTTTGGACACGTATATTTACCTGCAAACAAATTTAATGAGTCCAGACTTAATATAAATATACCTATACTAAATTAACTAACAAACATATAATATTATAATGTTTTTATTAATACTTAGCAAGAAAAACGTGCACATGCTAAAATTATAATAAAAATAATCGAGTTAAATAATATTATAAAGCACAAATACTTATTTTATATAAAATTAATTCAATATTATTGATTAAAAGGAAATAATAATTTATCTACCATAATTAAGTTGTTGTTCAAATTTTATATTTACTAATGGGCCCCTCGCAAATGTATCGAATGTACAATTATAAAAGATATGATGATTTGGAATATCAATGAAAAAAATATATTCTTAATGTGAAAAATGATGAAAATAAAATTTTTAGTTTTATTATTTACTATAAAATAATATTAGAATTTAGATACATTTATTTTTTCTGAAAGATCATATACTTTTTTTTGTACAGAAAAAGTTCAATATAACAAAGAGAGGACGTCACCTCTGTATTTATTGTCTCCGTCTTACACACGAACGACATAGCAAATTTCTCATTCAAAAGTTTCAATAGTATGCCGTCAGTTTTGATATTAGAGTGAATTGACTTATCATCAAACTTTTAGGCAAAAACATTATCTGTGCTTAAGTGTTGGCTTTTACTCATTATTCTAATTTTCAAGCAAGATATAAGCATTTTTATTTGTTATATAACTCACATACCCAGATCTGAGTTGAAAATTAAAATATCAAAAAAGTCACCAATGCTTGAGCACAGATAATATTCTTACCTAAAAATTTGATAATAGGTCAATTCGCTCTATTACCTAAACTAACAGAACACTATTGAAACTAGTGAACCAAAATATGCTATGTTTATCAGACAGAGACAACAAACGCATGGGTAGAGTACTCTAAATTATTGAGAATACATAACTGTAACTTACTAGTTACTAAAATTGAACAAGAATCAACGGAAATAATAAAAAATTATATTTTCTAATAAAAGTTTAAAATATAATAAAAAGTATAAAAATGTAGAATGTGAATAATCAAAGGGCCATCAATAAACTCATTACTAAGTCTAAAATTCTGTTTAAAAATGCATGTTCTCCATAACATAGTATAGTTTTTAGCCACTGTTCACTATGTAGACTATGGACTACCGACAGCATACTGGCATAATTATAGTACAGTGAAACCTGTATATAACGGACAGTCACGGGACCAAAACAATTGTCCGTTATAGACAGGTGTCCGTTGTAGACAGGTTTCAATGTTTTAAAAATGAAAAATTTTTACGTACATTTGTATTGTTTTATACTTTACAATATATACATATTAGGTATAATCTTTATTAATATTATACAATATACATATATGTATTATACACATACATTCTACATTGAGAATTAAATTTTAATTATTTATTACAATTACAATTATTATTTTTATATTACATACATACAATGACACATTATAAATGTATTATATGTACATACTATTATATTTGTATAAATGTATTAATTATTTTTTAAAAAATGATTCTATTGATGTTGGTTTTTTGAACTTCGATTTGGCCATTTTCAACTCGTGATGGATAATTAATTCGCTCACATATGAAAATCCATTTGTTTTAAATTTAAAGCTTTACGCGGCCCGGGAGGTGGCATTACTAAGGAAAAGATGTACAACTCTGACTGCAAACCGATAGAAACTGAATAAAAACGTTTGATATTTATGGTTATCATTTATATGTATTGCAATTTATATCTGGATATCTTGGACTGTATAAATTCAATAGGCAATTAGCGTTATCATAATTGTCGATAATGTAATTGGTCGTAATCCGTGTTTTCACTGAATGGCCTAATTGCATTCCTTATCGACACTGTTTCGTAGTATGTATGTATGCATGCATGTATTTTTTTCCGTAATGAAATTGTTGGATTAAATATTAGTGTCCGTGTCCATAATAGAAGGAGTCCGTTATAGACAGGTCGAAATACATTAGAATGCCTATCTTTTTGCCAGGACCTGGTCATTTTGTCCGTTAAAAGAGGTGTCTGTTATAGACAGGTGTCCGTTAAGTCAGGTTTCACTGTATATTGTTTGTTGTTGGAAAACCTTGAATGTGTAAAAACTATAAAACCGTTTGATTTATTAATAATACTTACAAACTAACTTAGAACAATATGACTAAATCTCCATAGTTTTGTCTATATACAATGCCATATTAAAGATTAACAAACATTTTTGATATGTGTTATACTGTTAAGTTGAGCGCGTATTGTACATATAAAATACATAAATATCATAATATTTATGAAGAGTATCCATTCAAAATATTTTCACTGAGCCTCAGTAATTATGAGTTCATCATTTTTAGATTCTGAGCCAAAACAAAAATGTATTTATTTTTACAATGATATTTTACCAATTTTTCTTCTGATGTTTTAGGAGCAAAATAAGTGTTTCGAAAGTAGTAAGTAGTTCTAACTAGTAGTTCTTAATTAAAAATTAGGATGCATTCACTTTTATTGTGATAAATTAAGTGTCACTTATCTTTTAGCTCTACAAAAATATTCCAAAAATAATTTTTACACAGCATATTATAATTGTAAATTGAGATAGTAGGAAGCATTTGGATGATATGTGATTTTAAAGAAAAGTTTGTCCTTTTACAAAAATGTCTTCAGACGATATTCTCAAGATAGACTCTTATCAGTAGATTTATTCGCTCAATATTTGTAATTTTACACCAGAGTATTGTAACATTGAATTATACACCAGCAACATAATAATAATGTACCCAAGCTATCTTATTCCTAATCTATAGCAAATCATTAATCAAATTAATTTTAGTAACTTCAGAATTCAGATACCAAAAATAAAAATCAATTTATCTCTTCAATAACATACCTGATATTTCATCCGATAAAATGATACCAAGAAATAAGTTAACAATAAATATATTAGTATATAAGTCTAAATATGTGAAAAAAAAATGAAATTATTGTAAAACATATACAAATATGTAAAATCAAATATAAATCATTTGATTGAAAATCCTGTGATATGAATTTATCACTTGCTTTAATTAATTTAGCAAATCTCAGTAAAATATCCAAATACCGTACACTTTTGGTCACTGAAATTGTTTCTGCTATTTGAAGGTGCTCGCTCTATTCAGAGGATTCAAATTGTAGAAAGTTTGTAATTTATTTCCAAAAAACATCTGCTATTTAGAGGTGACCTGTTGGGGGAAGTTTCACTGTATTTACAAATAAATCCATCACCTAATAATAACATTATATTGTGTATTTGTGATTAAAAAAAGATTTTAATGAAGTAACCGAAAGTCCATTTCCAAAAGTATTTAAAATCACCCAATACTGCACTTTCAATTCATGCCCCAACCCTTTATGCTTACTGAATAATACAAACAAGGTAATTGAAATCCCAAGAGCTGTCAATATATTGCATACCTAAATAACAAGATAATTTGATTTTTCGTATTTTTAATATAATTATACAGATAATAGAATACATTACATCTCAAATGAAAAAACCTATACTACAACATGAGATATTGCCAATTAACATTACAAATTAATTCATTTTTCTTCCATTTTAAGTGGGCATTTGCACCTGACTACACACCATGAGTTGACATCTAAATTCTAAATATAAAATATTGTGACACTAAAATTTCTATTTTTAGCAACTATGCTTAATTCTTTTATATTGGTCAACTGTAAAATGTATAAATGGTATCAATAATTTATAATATCAAAATATATTCAATTCAGTATAATATTATACAAATATAATTAACTACAATGACCACATTATCAGATATTTGTCTTAAAAGGTTCCAACAAAAATTATTAATTTATCAAGATATGCAGTATAAAAAGCTATCCGAACCAAAACTTTTGTTAATCTTCTCCCTTTTAAATCAAAAGTTTTAACTTTAGTTGTCAATATTTGTTGTGCAATAGCAATATAAAATCTAAACCCACTTGGTCTTTTAAAATACTTTACACAAAACAAGAATTGAATTGACACCATATTCAACTTAAACATTTTAGATGCTCAAACAATGAAGTCTTATGAATATTATATTTTATTCATGTGCACTTGAATTGTTTTATGGATTCCATCTTTAAAATTAACTCATTTTTATATTGTCTTTTTATTACGGAAAAAATAATACTTATTTACCATCTGTGTTAACAAATTTAATTAAATAGGTTTTCAATTAGCTCTGCTATTTTCTCGTTTCATAGTTTAAATTATTTTATAGTAATGAAAAAACTATGCTTTACAATTTTGACTATCATAGTTAACTAACTTAATCTGTA